TCGTTAGGTCGACAAGGTTCCGTTGCTAACTGCATGTTTTCCATACAACTCCATGGGTCCTCTTCGTTAGGTCGACAAGGTTCCGTTGCTAACTGTATGTTTTCCATACAACGCCATGGATCGGGGTGCTCGTCGTTAGGAGGACAATTGTCCGTTGCTAACTGTATGGTTTCCATACAACGCCATACATCGGGGTCATTCGGTGGACAAGGGTGCGTTTCTAACTGCATGGTTTCCATGCAACTCCATGGATCGGGGTCATTCGGTGGACAAGGGCCCGGTGCTAACGGTATAGTCTCCATACATGTCCATGGATCGGGGTCATCTTCATTAGGTGGGCAAGGGTCCGGTTGTAATTGTATAGTTTCCAGACAACTCCATGGATCGGGATCATCTTCATTAGGTGGAGATGCTTCCGTGTCGGTGGGATCCCGCGTTAGGCGGGTGTGGCTTGTCGAATGGTGGGTTGTCGATTCCTCGGTCGAAGAAGAAGCCGGGAAACTACTGTGCCCGTTATTGCCCCCCATAAACTCTTCAACGAGTATGTGCAAATAGTCGTCTTTGACGTTTTCCCACGCGGCTGCGTCACATTCGTGGAGCACTTCTAGATGTAGCTCGATGATCGTGCGCTTATGCACGCGCGGTGGGCGGCCTCTACCGGATGTGGACGCAGGTTGCCTATCCGTACTCATAGTGTAGCCGTAATCGGGTGGTGGCAGGTCGCCGCGTTGCAGATGGTCGAGTATTTCTTCGTCGAGTGCCGGTGACGGCACGTCACGAACGGTTCGATATGTTCGTCGTCGTTTGGCGAGGTGGGCAAAATACTAAACAGAAAAAGGGGGGTAAAGAGCAGGGTGAGGACGGTAGGATACAAGGAATGAACGCGGATGTAGGAGTATATGGGTTGCAACGATCATATATTGCAGCCCGTCGGGATGTTCTGAGCTATAAACATCGTGCACATGCGGCATGCCCTGATTGCCATATATACTTACCTTCCAAAGGGAATAACCAAGGAGGGCCACGATGACGGCGGACAGGAAGAAGAGTACGGGAGTAGTGGCGGTAAGGACCGCGTCGGTTAGGTCGGGCGCGGTTGGACCACCATCATTGGACGGACCCTTATTTGGGCCTATAGGATGAGGAACCTGTGGGGTACGTGGTCCGTAATTTCCTCGCAGCTTATTTATATCTGGTTCAAGTGTGAATGACACTTTCACATCACCGGGTGAATACAGGTGCGTACTGGCGGGTTCAGACACAGCGGGAAAATGGCTACTGCCACTACTGCCCGATTGATTTGGGTTCGGGTTCGGTTTGGGTTTGGGTGGATTGAGCGGAGGGGGGTCATCGTTGTCGCCAGTGACGACTGCTTCCCCGGAGTCGGCATGCTTCGTGTCACTCGTTGTACCCTCCGCTGCTGTTGCTGTGGATGGTGTCGTTGCGTCAGAAGATGGTGTTGTTGTGTCTGATGATGTTGCTGTAGAACCTGCATTGGACGGTGCCGCCGGTTCCGGTGCTGGTTCCTGCGCTGATTTTACGTCTTGTCCGCCCTTACTCGAATTATCCTCGTGAGTACGCGTACCTACAAATGTAAACCACAAGGAACATGTTATGATGATGAAACTGAAGTTTTTTATTAGGCGCATGGTCACACAGTCGGTCCACGGCGGTTGCAGGGTTGCATGGTCCGTCAGTGATGGTGTCCGACATGGTTGACCACATGGTGCCACGGGGGCACGGGGACGGCTACGCGGTTGTGGTCTGTCGTATGGCACGGGGGTAGGGTGCCACTCCGGGAAAAGACTCTCTCTCGCGCACCCACACACAACACAACACGCAACAGAACACACAGTGTGTGTCTCTCGACTTCTACCCGTCTACGTGTCGACGTCGACGTCTACATCCCGAGGCTTCTCCCCGCTGCTGTGCCCCTCATTCTCATTCAACGTTGGTTTCTCGCTCTCCGTGGTGTCTCGCCGTGTTGTCTCTCCTTGTCTCTGCGGAAATGGTTGCTTGTTTTTTTTTTTTTCCGTCTAATGTTACTTCGGGTGTTTATGTGCACTATGGTGCATAGAAATTGATACCTGGCGCTGGATCAGGGGGATTTGGAGGTATACTAGAGGGAACTCCCCACGCGGAATCTGGAGTGCACCCGAGGCTGATGCTAACGCCGGATCCGTTCGTATTCGTACTGGTGGAACTCTGTGTGCACTGACCTGCGTTGTCTGCATCCTGCCCGCCTTGGGTGCCCTCAGGCGCATGGCCCTGGGGTGGTAGTGGTTGTTGCGGGGGTTGTTGTCCAGGTCCTGGTGCCTGACCTGGTCCTCGACCTGGGCTTTGTTCCGTGGATGCCGTGTCCCCTGCTTTCGGTGATGATGGTGCCGCAGGTGGCGGTTGTGGTACGGGTACTGTTGCTGATGTGACCCCGTTCTCTGCTGCTGAGCCATCTGATCGTGGTTGTCCTGTTGGTGGTGATGGAGTTCCCCCTGTACCTGTACCTGAAACTGCTGGTGATTGTGTGCTTGACGGTTGTGCTTGGTCCTTGTTCTTATCATCTGTTCCATTTGGCCCCGGCGCTGGACTCATTGGTTTAGCTAAGAAGGGGAAACAGAGAGGGTCGATGTTTGTTAAAACAAAGCGGAATGGATGAAAAAACAAAGAACAAAGGAGTGGTGGGTGAGTAGGGTATGGTCGCCTCGATGTTGGGTACGATGCAGTGGGTCGAGGTGCAATCGGTTGACTGGGTCGGCTGCATGGTGCAGTACACTTTTATTTGTCGGCGCCATCCCACTCCGGCCCTCGTCTACACGTCGTTGCCGCTGTCGCTGCCGTCGTCGCCGCGTGTGCGTGTTGTTGTGGTGGCGGCATCCATCCGCAGTCTTATCGGTAGCGGCCGTACTATTCGTATTCGTAGTCTTAGGAGTCGCACTGTTACCTGTCCTGTGCTTCATGTTCTCTTCTGCGTTCTGCTGCTCTTCATCGTCGTCGTCCTCTTCCTCGTCCGCAGATTCAACAGCACTATCCTCGGATCTCATGGCTCCCCCTGGTCTATTTCGTACCCTTCTGTGCTCCCTTGTTACTGTTTTGGTAATTGTCTTAAACATTTTTGTTACCTGCTGTTTTACTAACCCCTGCATATGTGTCTCCTGAAATATACTGGAAATGTCTGCATCTTGCCCTGTCTGTTGCATACGCCTCTTGTACTGTGCCCAGGGTATGTGGCATTGTGGGTTCTGCTCTATTTGTTTTATACTAGCACTTATCTTTGGACTTTTCTGTAACCATTTTTTTACCGCTTCCTGTAAGTTCCCTTTCCCTATTTTAATACCCGTATATATGTCTTGCGTACATGTTCCACTTGAAATTGGATTAGACGGGTCTTGGCTGCCCTCAGCAAACTCCTGCATGGTGTGCCATGCCCAGTCTGGTCCTAGCCACTGATATCCACACTTTATTTCAGCCAATATATACGCAAAAACATTGCCCACGAGGCACCTCATAATAGCCTTCATGGCCGTATCATTGTGCGATGGGTCGTTATCCTTTTTCAGTTGATTGCTCCACCCAGTTACAAAATGTAATGCTCCAACCATGAGTCTGCATTTCATGACATCCCCAACTGAATGATCGGTATATCTTGTTTGTTCGTGCTCGCGTCCTCTACGTGTCCAACCTGCAGCCTCACAGTTTGTGGCATACATTTCTAATCGGTCCTCTATTTTTTCCATGTAATCCACAAAATCCTTTAATACATTTTCCATATCTGCCCATAGTGCCTTCTACGAAATATATACATAGAGAAAATGATTAATATATAACAATATATCAACTCTATAGGACTCTACCTTGCTTTCCGTATGTGTTACCGCACATATATGTACCAACACTATATTCCGCCGCCCTTCGTCGCTGTGTCGTGCATTTCCTTGTTCTGAGTGAACACTTACATCAACCTGTCTCTGCTCCGATAGTTCCCTGGCTCGTACCCATTCGGCCATTACATTTACTAAGTGCCCGGCCATGGTGCATTACGTGCCATAATACAGGATATTAATGCTATGTGAGAATATTGTGCACATTATTCATATTCCGCCCTGATGCCGTGCACACCTGTGCCTCATGAATATGCTTATTACTATATTAGTGGGGAAAATCCGATCACACATATAATTTATATAAGGAAAATGCACAATACAGAATTGCACAGTACACAAACTGTTTACACTATTCTGATATTGTTTAGGAAAGAATAATATGCACAGAAACAAAAATTAGTAAAAAATTAAAGAGAGAAAA